ATGCGTAGATTAGATGCAGTAGAATTTTGTAGACTGTTGGCTAAACGTAATAATCTTGTAATCGTTGTAATCTGAACGTAGCAACTGCGATGACAAACATTAGTCATATCTTCTCCAAAATTTAATAGAGCCCGCATCAAATCAGAATGAATTCTCAGTTGCACATCCTTTTCTTAGAAAATGTATATTCCCTTTGTCCGTGTAGTTTCAATTTACAACCGAGAGATCGTTAGTTCAAACTTCTGCCACATTCACCATTTATCCTTTCGCTATGAGCAGTAAACGGAAGATTAAACGTTCCAACAGCCTCCCAATCGTGTAAACGCAAGAAATATCGATATTTCAACAGTTATAAATTATCCACTTCTTTTCCTCATAGCATCTGCCTTGAAACTTGAAGATATTTGTCAGGCTCAACTGCCAGTCCTCTTTAGCTAGCCGTTTCCGGTTTTATTACAGGCTTACTGCTACTGTTCTAGCAGCCAAAGTTGGGATGTCACTGCTGTACACATTTTAGTTGTTGTGTTTCTTTTCTCCATAGCACTATCTTTAACTTGGGGAAAAACGCACAATACTGTAGGGTCCGCTTGAAACCTAATATGTAGATGCTATTAATAAATTGTTTGAATTGGCTGCTTCGAATAATGATGTTTAGTACGGCTGTCATAATCGACGATTTTACCTGCGACGAGTCGACTCTGCTGATACGGCTACATACGGATGTTCGGTTGCTAACCGGGCAGGTGAAGCTCACTGGAAAACGTCGGTCTTGATTTTGCGTAAGTTCGTAACTTTACTGCCCAGTATTTATAACCTTAATGTGTGTCTGATATCTATAAGGCAAACTTTTGCTGGTATTGCCATTTTTCCGTAGGCGATTTGTTGTTCCAAACAGGATTAATCGAAGAACATGATTTATACCGGTAAATTAACCTTCCTTTAATTTGTTTAACTTGATTTGGTATAGATTATGTGTATGAACGGGGTGAAGAGCTTAGAAACAGAAATTTCAGCAAACCTGCATATGCTTAATTTTACTGGGAGGAAGTAATGGTTCCAAAATCTTGAAACAAGATGTTGCTTTTAGACGAAAAAGTTAAATTTCAGAAGAACAACTTTAAATCCTACAAATAAAAATAGCTTTCAAAACTTTTTTTATAAACGTTTAAAGTATAAATTACAATGTTTTCCCTTACTACTAGATTTACAGGGCGTGGACGCGCCGAACTCTTGCTTCTAGTAGCCTAGAAGGGCCATTTAAGGGGGCTACGGTTCCATTGTATTTTACGCCGTGTGAATCCGGTAGTAAAAACAAAATGTTATTTTATTACCGGCGGTATCGCAAGCTAGCAGTTTGCTAGTAAATCCACAAGATCGGTATTTCTTTTAACTATAAATTATTTTCTTAAACCTTCAGGTTATTAATTCAAATATCTTGAATTTGATTCTTTAATGGTGAATTTTGCAATTCCATATCGGAGTCAACGTAAATATTGGGCAATTGTGTTGCACTGAACGACGTGCCAATGGATCCTCTGCTTAAAAGAACTCATGATTTCATGTTGTTTCATGTTTGTTTAATTTCACAAAAACCTCGTGTTATTCACAGTCTGATAAGTTCACTTGATGATCTTTCTATCAAGTCATTTGCAAAAGATACGTCTTACCAGTTCAGTCCGCTTTTCATCAATGTCCCACTTGAAGAGTCCTTTTTAGCTGTACTTTCAGTGGTAGCTTTCCGTATGTAGTCGGTATCGATGACATACTTCGTCCTCAGAATTGTTATCTGTTAAGTAAAGCTATCGCTATCACATAATCAGAATTGTCATGCAAAACGTCTGCTGCTATGTTGACAGTAGTATTGGTCTTCTTCTCTTGCATGGACCGGCATTTTTCTCTTTTCGCGTAGCAAATCACCGAAATTTACCTATAGAGACTTCTCTCTTCTTTCGTCGACCTTTCAATGTTCTAAAAGTTTTGCCGTAGGTAGTCGCTATTTCTGCTATATGATTAGAATGAGACAGGACTCAAATTCAGTCCCTTCCTATCGCAGTGTTCTTCTCATAACATTTCTCCGTAGCTGAACTCTCGCTTGTCACTTTTTCTTGGTTTCTCTTCGTTCGTTGTGAAAATTAACCCAGTCTGGCGCTTCTTTTCGTACTAGTAACGTAAAATAAATGAGTTATACATACACACCCTTGATATGCCTCAGCAACTCGACGGAACCCTTCCATTTCTTCTTGTCGTTCAAGTAATGTCGTGGGACAATCTTGTACATTCACAGTAAGTCTTCAAAGCAGTTCTGTTACAATGGTCTCTCCCAGCACCGTGTTCCTTGTTCAAACCAGTAAGTTTCATACAGATATCAGGCATTATTTTCGCTAATGTTTCTTGAGACGACCATCGTGTAAAGAAACCACCAATTTGTTGCTGATATATTATGAAAATGATTCTAAGTGTAATGAAAATGACATGACAATATATCCGAAATGTTCTAGACGATTTGCTTGAAACTTAAGCAATTTTAATATGAAGTTAGAATATTTGAAGAATTTTTGAAAACATTAAAACATATGGTACGTAATCCCCTTGAAAATTTACAGACAAGAAAGAATCATTTCTGAACAGAGAGATATCTACGCTGCTGATTTACGTTCATTCCTTGCAGTAGATATAAATGTAGAACGCGAGGTCAAGTGCCCGCTCCTACGGCAATATAAGTTTTGACTGAGCAAAACATCCTCAGTAAACAGGTTTTGCACGAAGATGTGCATAACAGTAATGATCTGTTTAAAGAGTATACAGCATGAAAAAGACATTTCATTACATTCCATAGGAAGGAGCAGATATGGGCAATGACTTCAGTCTCTCCACTCAGTTTTAAGCTCAGAGTAAATCATTCCTTTGCCAGCCCTCTAAATAGATTTTTTGTCATATAAGGATATGCGTCATCTTCTATGATCATTGAGTAGCTATTTGACTTTTTACTACGTGAATGAGAACAGCTTAGTTACGCTGCTATATCATTTGAAATGAATAAAACCGAAATTTCGTGCTCTGTCTTCACTGAAACGAAAATAAAAACTTTGGCTGAAATCGTTTCAAGTATGTACTATTTTACATGTCAACTGAACCATATGGTAAGTAGTTGTGTAACGTATAAACTGTGGATTGTGGTTCTGAAATTCATGTGTTTATTGTATGCAGATCAATCAAAATCTTCAATGGAACGAAGTTGATGTGTCTTCTACGGAATGAAGGTCGAAATTTTTTAATTAGGTTGCTATGATGCATGCTACCCTTTAGCGCACGTCTTTAGTGTTTGCAGTGTTTTGTGCGTTTGACCATTCACATGGCTGTTGTAACTGCAAGTATTAATTATTGCTTCGTTGATGTAACTCGCCAAAATTGGACAGTCGTGATCTAGTTGAATTTCTTCACATATGCTGCAGCAAGTTCATTGTTTTCCCTGTCCGACTCAGATTCGATTTGGCGATCTGCATTAACTCACTACTCTAGAGAAGGTAGTTAAGAAAACATTACTTATTAGTTCCACCAAAAATCGACACTAGCCGAAATGGTCCACATCCAAAAGTTTTCTTGAAACAAGAGATTGTTTTGTGGTGCATAGTCAGCGGCTACCCGGTACCAGAAGTGCAATGGTTCAAGGTTAGTAAATAGTCGTACAAAGAGCAGATCACGCCTTGACTTTCAGGGTCAGTATCCTATAGCTGAAGACTCTAGCAAATACAGGCTGGTTGACATGAACCAGGGTCTAACGATACTCGCAGCTGAACCGGACGACGAAGGAGAATACTCGTGCGTTGCCATCAGCAGCGCAGGAAGAAATGAAGGTCGAATTCCGCTTGAAGTCCTAAGTAACCGACAATTAAAATTGAAGCACGCTTCCATGGTATTTTCTGTAAATTTAGTACCCCCTACAGTCAAAGTTTCGGTTGATAAAACTGCCGTGGTTCAAGGGCGCCCCGTCACAATAACAGCTGAAGTAACCGGAAAACCCACGCCGAAACTGCAATGGACTGTGAACGGTGAGGCAGTTTCAACGGCAACGGCACGAATCCGTTTGAGTCAAGACGGTCGAAGGCATGTGTATACAAAAATGCCGGTCTTTGCATCTTTCTGATTTGTAGAATCGATATTCCGGATTTCGGCGA